CTTACTAGTAGTAACAAGAAGCTACTAGGAACAAGTGCCTTACTAGTGTAACAAGAAGCTACTAGGAACAAGTGCCTTACTAGTAGTATTTAGAATTTAGAAGACATGTGGCTGGAACATTGGATGCTGTGGCCCAGTGTAACCTTGCGCTCCTTGTGAGATCACAGGAGGAAAGTAAACATAGGTATGCTTTTTCTTTCTTCTTCCTTCTTTTGCTTGCTTGCTTGCTTTCTTTCCTTCCTTCCTTCTTTCTTGTCTGTCTGCCGTGTCTTCAGCCCTTTCTGTTGCAACTGCCGGGCCCTGCCATCCCGCCTCCTTCTCCTGTTTGTCGCCTGCAGCATCGGCTGGAAGCCAGAGAAACAAGAGAAAGAAGAGTAAGTTCACAAGTGGGAGAGGACGGTCTCCATCCTACTAGCGATGGCGTCCATCCTAGTAGCGATAGCCTCCAACCTAATAGCGAGAGTAAGCTAACGAGTGGGAGAAGAGCCTTGGAACGTAAGGTGAAAAAGCCAACTATAACGCAAAGCCTTCCACCGCATCAGTCTCGCCTTCACCAGTTTCGCCTTGGTGGTCTTGAGTGGCTTCAGCAGAACAACCGGTCGGGAATTCGGCAACCGATGCAGCTGGTCACATTCTGAGTATCCCTTGGGACAACCTAATAGCAATGGCCTCCACCCTAGTAGCGATGGCCTCCATTCTGAGTATCCCTTGAGACACTTTCAACTTGACCAGTTTTTGCTCTTCGATCGGTATCCGGTTTTCGTTCAACACATCTTTCACACCCGCTCTTCCGTGGACACCGGACGCAAGAGGCTGTGCCTCAGGTGCCTTTATATAGTCTGGGTTTGAAGAACCATCTCCGGCAACGTTCTCCAGCAAAGTTTTGATCAAAAGAGTACAGTCACTGATCCGGGACAACGTTCCAGCCAAGATGCCATTGGTGATGCTCTGCTTGTTCGTCTGCTGATTCATCTGGCCCATCTGGTTCTGCTGCATAGCCTTCATCTGCTCTTTCTCTCTGTACTCCACCTGTCTCAGCAACAAGCTGTAATGTAGCTAGTGGTGCCTAGTACCAGTCATACCCACAAAAGAGAAGCAGTATACAGTATCCCAATCGTCCAAACACGCTCCAGCATCCACAGCATGCTTAACACAGAATGGAAGAATGGACAAAAGAACAAAAATCTCATGAAGATGAATGAAAAGAAGAAAGAAGGTCCAAAGGTCTAGAAAAAAATACAAGAACAATTAAAGGACCGGATAACCCCACATATGAGTCTTTACGAATCTTAAGTTTCTAAAGCACAAAGCAGTCAGAGTCTCAATAGCTTCTACAACATGGCCTTGTCAGGAATTATATCAGAATTACACAACAGAGGGGTGGGAGAGAGGTGTGGGAGAGTAATGTGCACGGCGGATGTACGAAGGAGGAGAGTTAGGCCGGTGTGGCGGGATGTGCTCAAGGACATGCGGGATGTGTGGTCTCTGTGTATGTGTTGTCTCGGTGTGGAGGGAGGAGGCGGCGGGAAGCGGGATGAGACATAGAAAAGAAGAACCCCACACTAAGATGTGGGGAAAAAGGCAAGGTAAATCTAAAGGTTTACTAGATGCTAGACGACCTTAGGTCTTGATGTTCACCCCTTGGCGAACAAGAATGCTTGTTCTGGCATGCTACTATGGTGTTTCCATATGCAAGGCGAACTGAAACGACAAAAAAATGATAAAAAGTAAGGGCCACAATAGGAGTGAATGTAATTCTCTATTCGACGCTACTAGGGGCTCCTGGCCGTACTACTAGGAGCAAGTAGCTACTAGGGGCTCCTGGCATCGCTACTAGGAGCAAGGATGCTACTAGGGGCTCTTTAAACTCTTAACAACCGTGCCTGCTTTCTCTGCCAGGTCTGCAGCTCCGTCTGCCTGGCACATCCACGGCTCTTGGCTCGATCATTGCTGTTATTTCTGCAAGACCTCAGGCCTAAATATTTGAGCATGCTTGTTGGCAATCGTTCCGGAAAGATGTCTGGCTTAGAAAGTTAGTACACGAGGTTTGAGAGCCTTTTATACATTAACTTGAGGCGAATTCACGCGTATGAACGCTTGATACCGTGTTACCCCCTGCATCCCCCAGCATTGTAGATTTGCCTGACCCGCAGTAGTCAAGGGTGATGACATGGAACTTGAGAGCAGTGTAAGTCAGATCTGTTGATGTCTGTAAAGCCTTAACAATACTGGAGAGGCCATCGCTACTAGGTTGGGAGGCCATCACTATTAGGTTGGAGGCCATCGCTATTAGAAACAAAGAAAAATCAAAAGGAAGATCTGTGTCCGATGTCTGTAGAACCTTGAAATACTGGATCTGCATGCATCTGCCCTCTTTGACCAGACCGCCATAACATGCAAGTGAGACCAAACTTGCCACCTCTCCTTGAACCTCAGTGATTCAATCCGGCTCCCAAAATACGAGCAATGCTCCTGAGTTCTATTCAAAAACCTGTGAAATGAGGAATGGGAACCTTGTTTAACAGGTGTGTTTAGGAATCAAAATAGTCAATTGGAATCAATGAAGGAAAGGAACACGTGGCCCAACTCAGGGCCCTTTAACCAAAGGGCCTTACTTGTTGTGTTGTTTTTTCCGGGCCCAAACACCTTTCAAGACACTGGCATCCACCAAAGAGTATCATCCATGAAAGGATTACAACAAGGAGAACGGAAAAGGAGACACAAAATGAGGAACAATTTGCGAATTTGAGAGGTTTCTTCAAAAAAAAAGAACACACTGACTCGTGTGAATTTCGGGCAATTGGAGCCTTGAGCCTTGAAGCCTGGTCTGCTGTGGCTCGCACCAGTTGGAAGGTTCCAAGTCCTCTAGTCTGGTGTCAATCTTCTTGTCCTTCACCCACTTCCTCGCGCTGCAGAAAAGTCCCAAAGGCTTTCGACCAAAGACCTTCCACCTAAATCAGCCGAAAGTTTCAAAGGATTTGGAAGCCAAATATCAATCTGAAAGTTTGATCCTTTTTCCAATAACCGAAACAAGGCATGGCGCAGCAAATGCGCTATGCAACGCGTCCTCATGTAGTCGCTGGACTCAGCTTCATTGCGCCACGCATAGGTCACCTGCACGTACGCAATGCGGTGACAGGTGGGCGCACGCAGTGTCGCAAGGGAGACGAGACCCAAAAATGGTGCTACACAGTACTTGAAATTGCTGCCTAAGTCCTCTAAATCACCACGCTGAATGAGAAAAAATGTAGTCTTCCTTCAGATGTGGTATGATGTGGTTGTCTTCCACATGCTCAAACCTGCCTTGCATGAACTGTGGGGCTTGATCGGACAAAGCCTGCCTGCTATGATTCGACCCTGTCAACGTGTCTTAGCTCGAAGCCTCCGCGAAGCCTTCTGCGGTGGTCGGCAGGCTCAAGTTGGCCAAACAGTTCCCCATCCTGGCAAAACCCGGGGAGACAGAGAAAGCTAGCATTCGAAGGAAGTAAAGGAAAATGAAGGCATGAAGAAAAGCTAAGAGAAACAATAGGGAAACATGTTTCATTACTTCTTCCCACTTCTTAAGCCGGGGAGTTACGAGTCGCCGACGGAAATACGCGTTTGCCGGGCATGCAGGGGAGCACCCGCAGTTGAGCAACCGTGCACCGTGCACCAAACAGTCTGGGTGTTTCCTCGCATGAAAAAAACGAAGGAGCCCAGTTTTTCTGCAAAAAGCAGTCATATCACAAGCAAGGACTACTAGGGGCTCCTGGCCTTACTACTAGGAACAAAGAAGCTACTAGGGGCTCCTGGCATCGCTACTAGGAGCAAGGATGCTACTAGTGGCTCCTGGCATCGCTACTAGGAACAAAGAAGCTACTAGGGGCTCCTGGCATCGCTACTAGGAGCAAGGATGCTACTAGTGGCTCCTGGCATCGCTACTAGGAGCAAGGACGCTACTAGTGGCTCCTGGCATCGCTACTAGGAGCAAGGACGCTACTAGTGGCCGTCTTGCAGGTGGCATTCGCGAGCCGACGAGTCCACTCCGTACAGGATGCAGTTTTCGAGCGGAAGGAGTCGGTTTCCCTGTCTGCAGTCCGAAGCGCGTCACGTGGGTCGATACCTTGTCTTGTGCCGAATCACGTGTACAGACGAGGCGCCTTCCAGTCTTGGATAAAACAGGCAGAACCGTGTGGAAGGTCTAAAAAGAAGGGAAAGGTCAAATCGAGGTCTAAAGGAAATAAGCAGAAAAGCAAAAGAAAAACGAAAATAAAACAACAAACAAAGCTGTTTAAGCCAGCCTTGTTTGTAGTAAGAAGTATACTGGATGTCGTCCAAACTGAAGGCTCTTAAAGCCTTTTGCCACAAAGAATTCCAAGCAGGTCAGCACCACACGAAGGGTGAGACGTCAGGAACATGATCGCGGCGGAACCAAATGCCTGGCAAAGCTTTTCAAGTGGCAAGTAACAGCGACTTCTCAAGTGGTTGGAGGCCATTCATATTAGGTTGGAGATGTTGGAGGCCATCGCTAGTAGGTTGGAGGCTGTGCTTCTAGGTTGGAGGCCATCGCAAGTAGTAGCGACGTCACAAGAGGTGGAAACTCCATGCTTGTTCAACAGGATGTGTTATTATGCGGTTAAATCAGGAAGGATACATTATGTGCACACTGAACCACATCAAAGTCTCACTGTTGGGCTTGAAGGAAGACTCCAGGGAGACAGGGTCATAAACAGCAAAAAAAAGGTTAAGGATGACATCGGAGATCCCTGTGGCTTCACTGGGAAGTGGGTCGTTTCCGCCTGCCTTGCTCTTGCTCAGTGAGCTCGGCCACTGGTGGATCTCCCAAGGTCTGAGCCGGTGCAAGGCATATGAAGTCGTTTACATCGGTTTGTCGCGTTCGGTGTCACAAAACTGCAGCAATTCCACAGCAGGCACAAAAAAACATGGTGTCTTTCTTTTTTGCTCCTTTTAGCCAGCTCTTACTTAAGTAGGCGCCTACTTAAGTAAGTACGGGTAAGCTCCTGGGTAGGACGCGGGATAGCTCACGCTCGCACTATTCAAGATGTTTCGGACAAAGATTGCCAATCGGAGACTGGTGCAAAGTAAAGGCAGTTGCCCGAGTTGGCTCACCATGTCTTGAACGACCCTGCCTCATCGAAGTCCACAAAAACGTTGACTGTCGAGACGTCCTCCACTTTCGGAGCCTGAACAAATCATCGAATATGCTAAGCATTGAACGACTTAGGCGGTTTGACGAAGCGTTTTCGTCATTTGGTCACTCCTTCGATCCTTTTTGTTGTAGCCTGTGGCTTAATTAAGTAGGCACCTACTTGATGAAGGGAGAAGTTCGCTCCTAGCTAGGATGCAGGATAGCTCACCTTACTAGCTACTAGGGGCTCCTGGCCTCGCTACTAGGAGCAAGAAGCTACTAGGGGCTCCTTGCCGTACTACTAGGAGCAAGGACGCTACTTGATTTGGCTGCGTCATTGCTGTCCACGCTGTCCTCGTGATTTCCATCGACCTTGCCATCCGCCTTGCCATCCACTGGTTGACCTAGGGCGGAGCCAATGGCGGAGCCAATGGCAGAGCCATGTTGGAAGGGAACCGGAACCTTCTATCCTAAACAAAGAATGCTTTTTCAGAAGCAATAAAAGAAGCGTGCGTTCTTCTTGCTTTTTGTCCTTTCTTCCATTTGTTGTAGATGAAAAACCTTTCGTTTGTCCCCTTAGAAAAAGGGTTTTACTATGTTTAACTATCCCTTACTATCCTTTCTGACTCTTGTAGTGGAAAAGAATACGGCCTGCAATGGGCCTGTGGACCCCTGCATATTTTGGTGTTGAGCAAGGCCAAAAAAGCCAAAAGTAAGAGTCGAATGGGTTCGCACTTTCAACACCAAGACTGGTTGACTGGTGTTTGGAAACAAAAAACCGGTTGGGAGACAAGACTTCAGCGAGTTGTGACCCAGGAACCGTCCATCTTCGCATCCTTCTCACCGTCTTTCTTTTCGGCCTTTGGGTGCGAGTCGGTCGAATCGAAATCTTCCACCCACGAAGGGCCTTTCTTCACCTCTGCCAAAGGTCACTTCTTTGCAAACGAAACAGTGTCAATATGTGTAACTACCATGTGTACGTAGTAACAAGAAGCTACTAGGAACAAGTGCATCGCTAGTAGTAACAAGTGCCTTACTAGTAGTAACAAGAAGCTACTAGGAACAAGTGCGTTCGAGTCACAGGTGTGTTGCACGGTGCAACACCTGTGACTCGCACAAACTCAAAGGATCAAAAACTGACTGGATGAACCCGGCCCGCAGAAAACCGAGCCCGGCGAGCGCATCTTAGCATTTAAAGCATACCTGGACCTGGACCTTTCTTTGTAGCAAGGGTGACGTCCATGTGGTAAAGCCTGCTTGAATTAGAAGCTGAACATCACCTACGAACTATCTCACCACAAGAACGATCGCTTTTGGCCAGAAGCCATTCCAGCCTCAGCCTTGCCATCCTTGCCATCGTTCAAAGCGGCTTCTGCTGCAGCGCGATCCTTGGCCTCTGCGTCTGCTCGGGCCTTTGCTTCCCGCTCCTCCGCTTCCCTCCTGGCCACTCCGACACATCACTGGGCTTCTCTCCGCTGCTCTCTCGATGCGGCAACCGGAGAACCCGTAATGAGTTCTTGTATTCTGCGATCCTACTCGCCGCGGAGAGAATAAGAAGGGAAACGTCCGTAACCCTCGTGTAGCTCTCATGTATCCCCTTGCATGTCTGTATGTAGCAAGGACACTACTAGGGGCTCCTGGCCTCGCTACTAGGAGCAAGGACGCCGACGACACCGATACCAACGACACCAAGACGTGGCGGCCCACAGGATCTTCCGGCGCTTGGCTTCGGCTTGGTATTGCACGACATAGGCCTCGGCTCAAAGACCTTTTTAGGTCGGTCTAGAGTCGTGTTATGATCACCACAGGTGACCTGTCACTAGGTCTAAGTATCAATTGATTCTCCAAAATGCCAGCCCCAAGGATTCATGAGAACACAATCCCTAAGATGGCCGGATGATGTCTTTCGTTAGTACTAGACAGTATTTGTGTTGTGATGAAAAGACTTCAACACAATAAGGCAACTGCCGGGTCGTAGCGATGGCCATAGAAGGCCTGGAACAACATGGGTCATTGGTCTCAACTCTTCAAATTGATTCAATACTTTTCTAGACTCAAGAAAAAAAAAGGTCTAAAGAATCTTTTCGAGTCTAAAGGTCTAAAGAAAGCTAGTAGCTTCTTGTTCCTAGTAGCGTCCTGTTACTACTAGTAAGGCACTTGTTACTAGAAGCGATGCACTTGTTACTAATAGCTTCTTAAAGGTCTAAAGGTCGTCTAAAGAAAAAGAAAACAAAAAGAGAAGACCGACATCGGTCTTGGCCAAGTTCAATGCCCAAGAGCTCTTGTTTCCACGAGCCATCAACTTTGCTGCATCGCTCATCGAATGGCGGCTTAAAGTGACACGTTTAGAAGTTTGGAGGCCATCGCTCTTAGGTTGGAGGCCATGGCTTCTAGGTTGGAGGCCATCAGATTTAGAAGTTTGGAGGATGATGGTCCTTGTCCAGCCGCACTTGCTTCTCCTTCAATAGAACTTCTTTCACCTAGGACGCCACAATTGGGGCTGAAGGTGCCAAGTGCAAGACAGGATCACTTCGCTCTGCTTGCAACACCCTCTGCTTGCAACAAGAAAGGAGATATACTGTAACATGTTTGACCACCACAAGGCAAGGTAGGGGACAAGATACACAGAAACATTTGTATCAAAGCAGTGTGAGAGAGACAACCTGCTCCCGCTGCCCTGAAGTGCTGCCCAGGTAGGGCCCAGACATGCTGCCTGGGCAAGGCAGCAAAAGGAGCGAGGAGAAAGGGAGAGAGAGAGAGAGGAATGACTTGGAATGACTGAATCTATCACAGAAAAGGCCTTCTTTGAACTTGTGTGATCAGCATGGCATAGCTTTCAGAAAGCAGTCTTGTCAGAGCTGTTGGCATTCCATACCTGCCTTCAAGATAGCATTCTTGAAAAACAAGATTGGTGAAAAAGAAGTGGCATGACCCTTGCTATTAGGTTAGAGGCCATCGCTAGAAGGTTGGAGGCCATGGCTCTTAGGTTGGAGGCCATCGCTTCTAGATTCCTTGAAGTCTTTATCTTTAGCCACTTGAGAAAGACTCCTGAAGTCCCAGCCTCACACCTCACTAGGAGTGAACAACACTGCAAAGAGAAGGCCACTTTTTGAGTCCACTCAAGAGACACTGTCCGAGACCCAACGGGCCTGTAGTCTGGAGAAGGCTCACCCACAAGCACCTGCGAACTTGTCAGCCGAGACGTTCAAGTTCTGTCCACAATTTCTACAAATTGACTAAGGCTTTGGTACGAAAAAAGCAGGACACCACCTGATGCGTTCGGAAGCATTGTTGTTGTCGGCTGTAAACTAAGACCTAACATCAGCCTAACATCTTAAAAATTAAGAACAAACAGTTAATCGATCTAAGGGCTTGCGCGGCTTGCGGCATGCTTTTCAAGCTTCCTTAACTTCAGTTACGCCAAAGACCCAAGTAAGGCGAGCATAGTTGTTTTCTTTCAGAAAGGTGTTTGAACCATTTATATATATTACTTATATATATTACGTGTATGTGTATGTAGCTATATGTTACTTCTACGGTTGTATAAAACAGTTATGTTTCTCGTTGAAAACAATTATGTATATTTATAACATTATGCAATATGCGTTCTATATATCTTCTAAGGCGGGGAAAAGCCACATAGAGTAAAAAGAGATGAGCCGTTGTAGCTGGCAAGTAGCTGACAAGTTGCTGACAAATGGCAAGGATGCTACTAGGGACTGGATGTGGGTCAGCTCTGGTTCGCATGATTGATTCAGCTCCTAGATTTCGAGAGAGGTTTAACTAAAATGTGGACCATTCTTTCGTTCATCCATAGTTTGTTAAAAGCAAACAAAGTCTTTCTGTGCGATTCCTTGCCCAAGAAAGTAGCATCTAAAAAGATCGCCGGTGATCAAAAAAAGAACAAATCCCAGTATGATGAATTCCGGAAGCCTCGCGTGTTCTTTTTACCACTTGGACCACGAGACCAGCGGGACCAATGGACTAGGGGACCTACTCAGGATGATTTTGTTTGATCCAGTTCTTTTTCTTTTATCATGTTCTGATTTTAACCTAGATGCCATCCCTCGCCTTGGCATTGTGCTTCAGCCCAGGCGTGGCCAAGACTTTTAGTGCTTGCGCGCGCTCTTCTTTAGAGAGGTTCCCTTGAACCTCCATCACCTGGCAGGTAAATCTCTGGATCCATTCAAAACTCTCAGGAAATCCCAAACAAAAAGCGCTGAAGTTGGACGCCATCGCTATTGCTCCGGTTCCGCGCGTCCCGGTCGACGCATCCAAACTCGCCAGGCTGTCCACAATGCTTCGGTTCTGCAACCCTGCAGCCTGAAGCAGCGTCCGTTTGGTGGAGCCATCCTCAGGGCGTGAAGAGTGAGAAGAGCCCCACTCTAAGTGGGCGCCCGTTTGATTGGGGGAGCTTTCATTCAAGAAATCACCACACATCTTCCTTTTTCCGAACTCTTCTTTGTGCTCTTGAAAAAAGGAGGCCAGAGGGGAAGCGGTGGGTAAGGGCAAGAAATGATACGAGATGCTAGTCTAGTCCCTATTAGCTTCTTGTTACGCAAAAAAAATTAGGCTTTCTTGAAGAACCCTTTGGATGGGAAACTAAGCTTGACTGTTCTGCTTTCCTGTTGTAAAAGGCTCTTCAGAATCTTCTCTGCCTTCGGGCAGCAACCTCTTTCCAAATACGTAGAAGAGGTGCCCAGACGGGGCAGAGACATCAAAAAACCTGCGTGCAGAGACTTCTGAGTCACAAGCATCCAATGCGTAAATGCCAAAGTTCATCTCCTAGGTCGAGGTGAGGGCTCGAGCATTCCTAGCAACGACCACACTACTCCAATCATCACCGAAATCTCTTCTTTGTGATATTTGAAAGTAGATGCAGGGGTCGCAGGTTCTTCCATTGCTGGAGCATATAGCATCACGCGGATTGCGACGAAAATTCTGCCAGCATCGGCCAAAAAGGCCAACTGTGCACACAGTAAAACAACAATTGCTCTTGTTTCTACCACCTTTAGCGACGCAAACCCTCTCAAGTCACCGCGGCATGCAGAACAGACACAGGACATACCACGAATCCTAGGCATCCGGACTGGCTTGTCATTGGAATGCCTGGTCTTGCACAGCTTGCACTACACAGCTTGCGCTGGTCTTTTGGAGTGCCAAAATAGCGCAAGGGTCAAGCAAAGAGTGTTGCAAAGAGAGCAGGGTCACATGCTCTCTCATGTGCGCAGGGAGGCTCTCTCATGCCCATGATGCTGCCCATCTGCCCCGGGAAGCAGAAGGGAGCGGAGAACTGAAGATGGTTTAGTGTGAAAACGGCTCACGGTCGCATGGTCTGTCAAAACAATCATCTTCCCATTCTGGAAACTCCCTGCGCCAGCGTGTTCTGATCGGATGCCAAAGCAAGTGCCCCAAACATGCCATCAATCCTGCTGTTTGCAGTGGACGTTGATGCGTCCTAGTTCTTTGTGTCTGCTTCTTGCCAAGCTCAAAAATGTCTGGCTTGCCATTTACAGCTATCCTGCATTGTCTATCCTGCATAGTTCTTTGTGTATCCAGCGTTTCTGCCAAGTGCATGCCATTCCCGGCCCCAACACTGTTTGGCCCGGCCTGGTAGCATCTCTCCAGGCGCGCTTGATGCCGCTCTTCGTGCACCTGGGTTGAGCTGCTTGGTGCACTGAAGAAATGAGCCTCTCAAGAGCAGTCTATCACTCAAGACGCTCCTTTAGATCACCAGAACTCAACTCTAATTAATTACTGTTTCTACTAGCTTCTTGTTACTACTAGTAAGGCACTTGTTACTAGAAGCGATGCACTTGTTCCTAGTAGCGAACATTGTTTCTCATTAATCAGAAGCTGTTCCAGCTGTTCCATGTTTGACTCTTCCGAAGTGCCTCTCTGTCTCCAAGGCACCAGTCCACGATTTTCCGGTCGCTGATCTCCGTGAATTCTGGACGCTCCGCCAAAAACCTGGCCAAATGACAAATGACCTCTACAAGGTGCTGACTGGGACAGATCATGCCTTCATACAATATGTTCATGACCGGCGGCCGTGTTCCAGGATAGATCTATATGTATATATGATGATTATGACCTTCACCGCCTTTCCCTGAACTTTGTCGTTCCACTTGCTCAGCTTCTTTGCATGAAACCTCTTGAAAATTCAGTGAAGCGGGCAAGGCATGACCAGTCCAGCCAGTGGAATGTTCCTTCTCCCGGAAGAAACACCGGGAAGAGAACCTGCCAGAGTGACTGAGAGTGAAACCTACGACCTACAGACCATGGCCTCCAACCGACTTGCAAAAAAAACTACTTGCGATGGCCTCCAACCCAATAGCGATGACCTCCAACCTAATAGCGATGGCCTCCAACCTATAGCACCCAACTCATTTCCATTTGCAGGTTCTGTAAAAAGCAAGCTAAACGAATCTTGTCTTGAAAGAAAGCGGTCGGAGTAGAGGTACTTCAGCTCCAAAAGCGCCCATAGCTTTGGAGGGATGAATGCAGTCGACTGTTCGGGTCCGATGCAAAAAATAACACGCCATCCACCTCCTGAGTTCTTTTCTGTGCTCACTCAGTGAGTAGCGTCCTTGCTCCTAGTAGTACGGCCAGGAGCCCCTAGTAGCGTCCTTGCTCCTAGGTTTTCATATGCTGTAATATCTCCCATTGAGAATTTTGACTCCAAATATAGATCTTAACTTTTTTGCTACGAGGTGGTTGGAGCCTATGACCTTGGAGTTCTAGTTGCCAATGCTGTCGCCGAATTTAACCGTTTGTTCTTTTCTTATTAGACCTTTTGCCCCTAGTAGCGAACATTGTTACTAGTAGCAAATTAAGGTGTGTTTTTCTTTTGACCTTTAGACCTTTTGCAAACTTTTGGAACAGTGGCTTACGAATCTGCCTCTGGTCGTCCGTCAGAAGGCACTCGATACTTGATCCGGGCAACCTCAGAAAGCGGTCGCCGGCATCAGAATGTCCGGCTTTAACAATTTGACATATTTGACAAGCAATTGATTAAAAAATCATTCCAAATGGATTGCTCGTGACAGTCAAGTAGAAGTAATGTGGCTTTCATGACAGGATGTGAGAAACCAACAACTGGTCACCTCCGAAATAATTGGACTTCTACCTTGCCGCCTTGCCTAGAAAGTTCGAGGTGATCATCAGACTGCAAGAAGCAAGAACACAGAAAAAGGAGTCCCCGAAAAAGGAGTCTGATTCTGCGAAGGATCATCTTCTTCTGATGCATCATTGATCATGCCTAGGCTGTGATGAAAGCTGCAACGACTGAGGGCAGGGATGGGCAGGGCTTTAGCAAGTGCATGCCAAGCAATTCTTTACTAGTAACAAGTGCCTTACTAGTAGTAACAAGAAGCTACTAGGAACAAGTGCATCGCTACTAGTAACAAGTGATGAATTGACCAATTGAAATCACGTGAGCATGAGTCACTCCGCTCAGAGTTGCTAAGAACCATTAACTAAAGCAGACAATCGGACTTACGGTTTGCGTGTAAAAAGATCCATTATAACCATAGGTGCGAATTGAACTACTGGTAGCAAGTGCATAACTACCAGTAACAAGAAGCTACTAGTAACAAGGGCATTACTACTAGTAACAAGAAGCTTTGGAGCTTTGGATCCATAGGTGCGATTTGAACCCGGAAGCCTGGTTTTGACATATACATCATGGGGAGAAGGTTTGTGCCATGGTGCGGCATTTGAACGGCAGCTCGGCCAAGGGCAGTGGTCCAAAATTGACCTGCACCTTGGTGCAAAAGATCTCAAGGCTGGTAAGCAAACCTTTCTCCTAGTAGCGTCCTTGCTCCTAGTAGCGATGCCAGGAGCCCCTAATAGCGATTCCTTGGCTGGTAAGCAAACCTTTCTCAATGACGACTGCCTCAGGAAATGGATCAAACTACTCTAGGACTCTAGTCATTCCTTCTTGAGCTCCTCTTGATCCTCTTAGCTTACTTATCGACCTACCCTCCAAACCTCCAATGCAGCTCTGTCTGCGCTAAGCGCCATGCCGTCAGGTTCTTGAATGTGATCTCAGAGGCCGTCGGAAATTCGAGAACATGAGACTCACTGGACTGGCTGGGTTTTCTTCACAAAGTGAAGAACATGGCCTCCAACCTACTAGCAAAAGGAACCTATTAGCGATGACCTCCAACCTAATAGCTTGTCTATCTTGCTATCATCATCACTTGTCTGTTTGTCCATTCCTGACTTTAAACATGAGCCTCATTGTGCCTTGCACAATCTAGATCGTTCAGGCTTTGTGCTTGAGCCCAGCTATGCCCCATTGCAAATGAGCTACCATTGGAAAAAGCGGCTTCCCTTTCAGGATCTCGGGAATCGGTTGAGGCCTCACAATCCACAAAGCCGTCACAAAGCCGCCGGTTTAATCTGATACCTTTGACTCAAAACCTCTCGTGAAAAAATAGCTTAAGAAAGGTTGAACAATGTTGAAACGTCTCAGCTATATAAGTAAATGTATGACAGCTTTGCGCTCTGCTACGGTCGTGTTTGAAGTCAAAGAGTCTGCCTCAACCGTCATGTCTACTCCCGCGAAGTCTGGTGAGAAACTGTCAAACCTTATTTGCAATGACCTCCAACCTGCTAGCGATGGCCTCCACCCTAGTAGCGATGGCCTCCAACCTAATAGCAAAAGGAACCTAATGGCATTTGTTACTACTAGCTTCTTATTACTACTAGTAGGGCACTTGTTACTAGTAGCGATGCACTTGTTACTACTAGCTTCTTGTGACTAGTAGTAATGGCCTCCACCCTACGCCTCCAACCGCAAATGTGAAATGTGTCCACAAATGTGGCCTTGAGATGCGCTCTCCTTCCCGGAAAAGGGACATGGTGTTGGCGTCCGGACCTCGAATCGTCAGAAAAGGGACACGGTCCGGACGTCTTTCAAACAGCGTTCTTTGAATTTGCTTCTTTTCTTCTTTAGACCTTTAGATCGTGTTCTTTTCTTTTGTTCAATTGTCTTTTTCTAGTCTTTCTTTTGACCTTTACACCCTTTCTTTGGTTTCCTCTTTTTTTACTGGGCTGACAACTCGGACCCAAACGCAGATCTTTCTGACAATTGAACAATTCGAAAGCTTGTTACTAGTAGCGTCCTTGCTCCTAGTAGTAAGGCCAGGAGCCCCTAGCAGCATTGCTCCTAGGAAGCTGGCCATCATCCGTCAAGTTCAGCAACACCTCAGTGTCCGTAGAACTACCGCACACTTGTCGCTGAGCATTTAGGCCGAGTAGGACACTTCGCAGGGGGTGAGACAACCTTTTGTTGGGTCTCAAACAAGAGTCAAAGCTCAGACCTGCTTCAGGTGCACATGTGCGTGACTGTGCTTTGCCCTTTGTCATGGCGCACTAGTGGGGGGCACAGCCTGGTGCAAAGGCCTTGGCCCTTGGAGTTGGAACAAAACATGTAATGTCAATTTGATGCGGTTCCCTCAAAATCTAGGAACCAAGTCAATGAGAAGGGCTCTTCAAGGAAGCTCTGCCCCGAGCTTGAAGAACGCTTCACTGACGCTTCACGCTTCTGGGTCCAGTCCCTAGTAGTTTCTTGAGCTACTAGTAGCCTACAGTAGTAGCCTACATCACAAAATGATGAGAAGAAAATGGAATGATGAAAGAAGAAAGAAAGCCAAACAGGAATGGAATCCTGCTGAAGAAAGAAAAAGAAGAACAATTGCTCTTTGCAGGCCTACAAGTTGCGTTGCTCCACGCCGAAGGAGGGACATGAGTGCATGGTAGTTTCTCGGGAAGTGATTGAAATTCTAGAAAGCTCAGGGAGACTTGTTTCACCTTGTTTCCAAGAGTGAAGGCTTTTGGAGGCCATCGCTAATAATTAAGGACCCTACTAGGAGCAAAGGGCATCGCTACTAGGAGCAAGGAACTGGGGGCTCCTGGCATCGCTACTAGGAACAAGAGGACGCTACTAGGGCCTCCTGGCCGTACTACGAACGGAGCGATCGGACGCTACAAGACAGCCCGCTGAGGGTGGGACCGCTATTGCCACCCCGCTTACTAACCGCTGCGTGCACTGCGTCCGCCTGCACAATCTTATTGTTACTACTAGTAAGGCACCTGTTACTACTAGCGTGGCACTTGTTTTTAGTAGCACAAGATCGTCAGTGATCGGATGGACCACGATATGCGAAATGCTTCCTTCCCAAAGAATTCAGAGATAAGAACCAGCACGATATTTAGATTATTAGATATTACTGTACTACTATTTATTACCAGTAGCTTCTTGCTACTGGTAGTAAGGCCAGGAGCCACGTTCGTGGTAGTAAGGCCTCCGATTGAAGACAAAGTTGCCCTCGGAGTCGAAGGAAATGCTATCCTCGGAGTCTCCCAGCAGCAAAGCCTTGGTTGAACGTTCGGTTTCGTCTTCAGAACCGAAAAGTTGAACGTTCGTCGTCTTCTAACATGGCCTCAATACCGAAGCGTCCTTGTCCGGTACGTTTGCCACATGCTCTAGGAACCAAGTCAATCTTGCTGCCCGCTTTGACAGCACCCAAGTGACATCAAGTGGCCTTAAAACATGGAAGTCACAACGAGATGCACTTGTTCCTAGTAGCTTCTTGTTACTACTAGTAAGGCACTTGTTACTAGAAGCGATGCTAGTAGCTTCTTGTTCCTAGTTCTCGGATCACTCAAAATACCGATCAAAAGATCGTTTGGGTGTTGGTAGAAGGTGTGACGCAACGTTGCGATGGCTTTGGATTCTTTCACACAAGGCCTTGCTTTGTGCAACGTCGCTTTCGGATTGTTCAGTCGAGGTCGACCTTGTTGTGTCCGAGTCGTAAAGCAATGCCTTTCACAGTTCTCCACGCAAACGTCTTTCTCGGAAAGCGCTGTTTCGGGGAGCCTTTCAGCAAGCAGATCGTCAAGAGTTCGCATTTGAGAACGATCGCATTTGATCTCAACTCATTTGAGAAGTTTCTTCTCAGATCTCGTTCCCCGTGCCTCACGTGGAGATCGCTGGAAAGCCGAAGCCCCTCTTCACAAGTTCTCCAAGCCAAGGCAAGATGCAAAAGACCGGAGGGGAAAAAAGGAACGGAGAAATCGAGTCGGTGTCGGACATTCTCCGAACGGTGAAGGCCAAAGAGGCCCAACTCCTCCTGCTTCTTGTTTCGTGTTTCAAAGAGAAGGAAGAACTGGCCAAAACTTTCACCACAATTGTTCAAGAAAAGCGAAAACCAGAAAAAAAAATGCAAATAGAAAGAAAAAAAGGGGATTACGGACCTTCCTACGGTTACTACCCTTCGTTTCTTCTGAACTCCAAAGGCCGGGACCGAAGTGGAAGTGCCAAATCCAATCCGTAGCAGATTTCGCGGCATCGGAGGCTTCACCTGCGAGGTGCACTGAGCCGTCGTTCCAGATGTTTTAAGGGGGAGTAGACAGGAGGTAGATGAGGTAGGAAGAGATAGCTAAGCACTAACACGTAATTAGCTACTAGACCTACTAGCGGCTGAAGTAGCTACTAGGCTTGGACGCAAAAGAGCTCAGGCTTCTTCAAGGATGCTCCCCGCCTGAGGGCGGGGGAGGAAAACTTAACATTCTTGCTGATGTCATATTGTTGTCTTGCAAAAAGCACGTTTCAAACTATGCCAAGCCTCTGTGCATCCCTTTCGGCTTAGAATATCAACACGCCCCCGAAGGTTCAGCGCACATTTGCACAATTTGCCACACAAGTTGCCAAAGCGATCCAATTCAACCAAGGGTCCTGTGGTTGCACAGAATCTTCTTGTCCTTGGTTAAACAGCTTTGAGATCAGCTCCCTCATATCCTCCCACCGCGAAATGATCAGAACCGGCAGAACCTTCATGGACTGTAAGAGGTCACATCAAGGTCTATTCGAAGAAAGCTAGTAGCTTCTTGTTCCTAGTAGCGTCCTTGTTACTACTAGTAAGGCACTTGTTACTAGAAGCGATGCACTTGTTACTAATAGCTTCGTAGATTCAAAACGCTGAGGGTTTGACTGGGGCACTCGCAAACCCGGACCTCGAACATGTAGCGGCCTCGGAACAGGTGCAAGCACAGGAGCACAAGCAAAGGAACATCTCCAAAGCGGCGGTGAAAGAACAAGAAACTAGAAAACCAAAAGAAAAGTGATAGCGCATGACAGTTGCCATGACATGTGGGCCTTTGGCGTGGGCCAAACCTGCAGTCTAGCAGAGTCTAGCGACCCGAACAACAGGGCATAAAGGACTCATGCAAAGATCTTGCACAGCCTATGTTCAGTATGCATTATCATACATATCCAGCAAGAGATGCAAAAGGCGGCAATCTTGTCGGCTGGCCACCGAAATCTCCTGTCAGTTACCAGTGCACAGCTTAAGAAAAGAGGCATTCTGGCAACCAACCCGGAATGCAACAACACGGAAGCACCAAGTGCAATTCTCATGCCCCGATGACCTGATCTGGAAACTGAGAAAAATCACTCCTGAAGGGTGCAGAGCAAATGTCGGTTTCTTTGCAGTGCGCACAAGAAACTCGAGAAACCAATCTTTTCTGACGTTTCAAACATGTGTTTTCTTGTGTTTTCTTATGACTTGTTTAACTCGTGTGACCTAGGAGGACCGGTTGGGAGTTCTTCAGAATAGTCGCTCACCCCTGGCAGCTGGCGAGAGCTACATGACAAGAAAGAAGCGACTGAACCCAAAAAAGAAATATGAAGAAAACACATAGAATAAAAGGACAAAGTCCTATCAAGTACGATAAATAGGACAAAGACAAGTGTCCAAAATCTCCCCAGCCGCCTATCCTGACCTCCGGACCTTAAGCTGCGACCAAGGAGGCTACCACTTTTCACACCCACGTTGGCTCTTGCCCCCGCCAAGAGGTACTGGAGTCCGCCCTGGACTGTGACACAAGTCCACAAGGCATCGCAAGGCAATGTCTAATGCGCTACTAGGAACAAAGGGCATCGCTACTAGGAGCAAGGACGCTACTAGTAGCTCCTGGCCTTTCTACTAGTAGCAAGAAGCTACTAGGAGCAAGGGCATCACTATTAGTAACAAAAGGGCATTACTGCTAGTAGCATTCTCTCAATCGAACTCTCCAAATCCTCAAGTGCGTGGCTCCTGCGACCAGAAAAACATGAAACTGTTCTCGTTTGGCCTTTGCTGGCGGGGAGCAAGCGACAAACTCACTGAGACTGGACATCTCTGAGACGCACTGAGACCCTGCCGTCGTGCCCTGCCTCACTGAGTGACATCAAAAGATCTCCCGCCTCGATTGAGCCAACCCGGAGCGTTCTGCGAAAGCTACTACTCCACCCTTGCTACGTGCGTAGCTTCTTTCTTCCTTTGGACCTGTTCTTTCTGTTTCTTTCATCCTTGAAGCGTGTAGGACAGAAAAATCAGTCATAGGAGTTCTTGACGGAAGCTCAGCCCCGGGGAAGAAGAGCTTCCTTGAAGACTTTCAGCCTTTCTGGGGTCTAGTAGCGCTTGTGTCTGCATCTAGTAGAGCGTTGACACTAGTAGTTGCTGCTACTAGTTCACGGCCTACCCACCCCCAGTATACCAGTAGCTTCTTGATACTAGTAGTAAGGCACCTTACTGTTAGTAGCTTTTTGTTACTAGTAGTAATGCCTAGTAGCGATGCACTTGTTCCTAGTAGTCATGCCCTTGCTACTCTTGCTACTAGTAACGATGCACTTGATACTAGTAGTAATGCCAGGAGCTACTATCAGCGATGCACTTGTTACTAGTAGCTTCTTGTTACTACAAGAAAATTCATGTTTTCTGTTCAACGTGTTTTGTTCCGGTGTAGCCTGACTTTCTACTTAGTTACTTGTTTCTGGCGGGTAGTGATGTCGACTAAGAGCCGCAGCAAGTCTAGCTTGACAACGCATTGCCATGCATCTCTGATGTCTTCCTTTAGAAAAACATGGACGCGTTGGCGGGATCTTCTGTGTGGATAGGAAACCTGTCTGAGGGGGGGGTCACTATCAGGGGCAATCAGCATGTTGACTTTTTGCACGAAGTCAAAAAGCAAGAATACAATCATTCGCAGCGTTGCAGAAGCCGTCATGGTTTGATCAAAACGTCAAGAAGAGCTTCTCTCCCCACTTAGCCGCCCACCATTGAAGGCATCATGTTCAAGGTGGTGTCAGGCACCAGGAATTTCGCAGGCTCAGAGATGCGTGGCCTTGAATCCGGTGGCCTCGGCAAATCCAAAAGGAACTCTTTTCGGCACCAAGGCACCTTTTTTCCGTTCTACTAGGAACAAGAGGACGCTACTAGGGGCTCCTGGCCATACTACTAGGAGCAAGGACGCTACTAGGGGCTCCTGGCATCGCTA